CTGTTGGTTCATCGATGTTTGATTACTTATGTATTGTTTTTTGCTATGGATATGATCTGTTGGTTCATCTGTGTTTGATTGTTTTCAGTTACAAACAACAACACCCACACTGATAAACACATGCTAAACAATCAACACCTTATCAACACATGTAAACATTATTCCCTTGCAAATATGTTTGAAGTACACTAACTAGGCCTCATTCATACATAATAAAAGTTACATAAATACCACACCATACAACCCTCGCATGACCAACTATTTCATAAATGCGTACATGGTTACAAACACAACAACAATTGTTACAATGGTCACAATCTGAATGATTTTAGAGGATTTTGTCTTCAGTTTGTATTTCTTCTTTTCATGCGCCTGTAACTCTTCCAGTTTCATGTGCAATGTCTGCATTTGGTCTTCATAGCCATTCAATTTTTTTAGCAACCCAGGAATAATTTTTTGTGGCCTCTTGCACATTGGAGGGTCAAATAAGTCCATGAAGCCACACCCCACACATCTCTGCAAATAAATTATGTTGATGTATCATGTGCTAAAATAACCAAAAACATGCATTTTTCAAAGAATTTCATTACCTCACTACCTACGTATTTCCAAAACCTTCTCCCACAGTTATCATGTTTTCATGTCGTCAAAAGCTTCAATTCTTGGCCACATTAACAGTGTTTAACCGGAATCCATTCTCCATACTCATACTGCCCTATTGATTTTGAAGAAGTAGAGTGACTAGTAGACATGTTGGGTTCTTTGTGGTTGAGTGGCGAGAACGATGACAGGGTTATACGAAGGAGTTGTGTGGTGAGGGCCACCAATTTAGGGTTCAAACGAGCTATAAATTACGATGAAATGCAATGCAAAGTACGAATGATTTGTGAAGGGAAGTTAAGAAGGAGATGGCGGTAGGTAGGAAGAAGTTATAACGGCGTTGAAATTACTTAAATAACCTCCACTTAATAGTAAAAATTTTTAACCCGTCGGAGTTCACGCCGGAAGGATGAGAAATGGTAACGGGAGAAAATGTTGGGACAAAATGTGGCAAAGTTGTAAGTTGAGTACAAAATGTGGAAGTGACATAATAGTAATGGGACCAAGAGTTGATTTTTTTCTTGTTATAAAATCCAATTATTAAACTTAATATTTTCATATTTTGCCATTAAATTCATAATTATTAACTAATTTAATTAAATGTTAATCAACATCATATTAAGATATTAATTATAGATAAATAATAGCCTTCAAAAAAATATTACTCCTAAAAATATACGAAGTACGTAGAAGAGTAATCCTACTCAAGTACTCATGCTGATTCAATTTACTAATTATTTTCATTTAGAAGACATAAATATTACTAATTGATCATATTATACTTTGATATGTAATAAACAAGTGTAAAAAAATATTGGTACTTTTCAATATTACTATTAATACTAAGTCCACCTAAAATATTTAACTCCTGAAGATGTCACATATATATTTGACTAAGTTAAACCTACTATAACTTATAAATCAGCACTGGTCGATGAAATTAAGACTAATATTAATATTTTCGAAACTAATCACTTTCTCATCTAAAAGCTCAAATAAATATACCAATTTTTCTTTGTAATTTTACTAAATCGCACCCACAACTAATTTTAAGCATAACATATTTCTTTGGGTTTATTAAGCATGTTTGATTTGTTGTTCTTTTTTATTTTTCAAACCATATACCTCCTCATCTACATTTACAAAAAATTAAAACTGTTTTCCTTAGTTTTATTAAGACCGACATGCAACTTTAATTTAATGATACCATATTACTTTCAATTATTAATCATGTTATTTTATTGAGTTTGATTTCATATAATATTTGAAATCTCATTCTGAATTTTACACAACAACAACATCTAAGTCTTTTTTCAAAAGATTTTTAGGTTGACTAACATGATTGAATCCATGATATCATAGTCAAAAAGAGAAGTTGTTCTATAATAGTGCTAGAAGTTGTTTCACTATGTATCAAGTGTTAGCTAGCCTAAATACTATAAAAAAACAACTTCCCTACGAATCATATTTTGCACTAATACTTATGTTTGATATGATAAAATCAGCTCACTAAAAACTAAAAAGCTTAAAATTAATTTTTTATTTATATTTTAGGACCAATAAAGATGATTATGAGGTGGATCGGGAACAAATATGCATATAGCTTTATTCACCCTTCATTATTCAACGGGTAACTTTTAGTCGCATCGCATCTATCACAACAGGTAATTAATTAGGATAAACATGTACAACTTTTGGTTAAATGGGTGATTAGTCTTTTAAAGGAAAAAATATACCAAATATATAAATATACTGATGTTATATACCAAGTTATGATATGGTTGATGACTTTGCACTTATTAAAGAATTGAGGTATATATAAATAAAGCACTAGTTGAGTATTAAATTAAAATCAGCACAATGAATATTTTGATGACAATACAAAGATAATATAAGTAAATGAATAAGTTGATTTGTAACATATATATTACGTGTGGATCGTGATACTCAACTGCATACTTTTAATACTCAATTGTGCTACTAATACAGTGATTTAATACCAATAATCATTTATTTTAAACATTATACTCATTAAGCATAACGTAAAATATCTGGTTGTATAATGACCATTGTACAACCGGGTGTACAATGTATGCTCACATCGGTAGATGAAGAGAGGCGCCAGACCGATGAATGCTTAAGGCACTTGCTTACTCGTTTCGGTCTTTTTTATTTTATTGCGGGCCTTCAAACTACTGGGCGCTTCTCACATATTCGGAGTACTAGTTTTTTTAGTGTGGACCTGGTCAATGGATTGTGAGCTGTTATGTTGACTTTTACTCGAGGACGATTAATGAACTATGTAGGGGGGAGTTTGATAGTATAGAATTGTTATTGTTTATGTTTGTAATTTTAACTAGTTTTATTTGTTGTTGTTTGGGAAATTACACACTTTTGGTGTAATACTCTATTTTTCCTAGTTGCTTGTAATTTGTATAAATTAGGAATTTTCTGAGCTTAAACTAGGTAAAGATCATCAAAAGGATCCTGGAAAGGTCAAGGAAAGTGCAACGGAACAAGACAAAGTGAAAATTTAGGGAAATAGGCAAACACCTGGTCGGGTTTGACTTGACCCGAAGATCAAATCTGATTTTGGAGGCAATTAAACGTGCAGGACGAAGATTTGGCAAAGATTTGTCTTTTACCCGATCGGGTAAATCAAAAACCCGATCAGGTAGATGTGACTAATGAATATTCCGGGCATTTACTCAAGAAACCCGATCGGGTTTCTGAAAAACCCGGTCGGGTAAATGACCCTGCCACCTCCTAAAACCTATAAATACACCCCTTTTCCTTCCCATTTGATCACCAATTCCTATACACTTCTAAGCTCAGTTTAGTTAAGTACTTTCTTTATATTTTTATCATGTTTAGTCTCCAAATGAGGCGCTAAACTCTTCCGTCTTGGTTTTGCTACTTTGAAGCTTAATGGATTGTAAGTTGTGAGTTATTTTTCTTTAATCTTCTTCCTTGAATATTTCCCTTAATCTCTCTATATAAATGTTGGGGAGTATTGCTAAGATGACAATTTGTTAACATCTCGACATTAATTATAGTAGAGTTTATTTTCGTTAATCTTCTTCCTTGAATATTAATTAATTCATATTCATATGTCATATTAATTAGAGGATCAATCTGACCCTTACCTTATTTTCGATCTAACAATGATGTAGAGAGTTTCTACATCCAAGATATGGGTCACGTTGAGCGAACTCTCAAATGTCCATATGAGCTTAGATCCAATTAGTGAATGGGCTCAGGCTAGGTGGGGGAATGATGATCGAGTCCACATGTGTTTACACTTTACATCTCTATGTTGTTGCCTTTGAGAGTTCATACTACCAAGCCTACACAACACATTGTAACTAAAATTTCTTCTCACATTTGACCAAAATTTCAACAGGGCTAAAACTAGGAAAAGGTACATTGTGAACAAAGCAGTCACAATATGATTTTGTTTAGAGATACTTTGGCCATTTCAGAACTAATACTTCTTAGCATATAAATTATGAAAAATATGATTCAATACGGGAGATTGTATGAACAAATAAGAAATGTTACGATGTCAATAGATGAATGTGAAGAAACTAGAACACATATTCGACACAACATTATATTTGTATATAAATTTCATTTAAGAGTGTTGATTATCTAAAGTTACAAATAATGGAGTATCAAAGACGCAAATATAGAGCACCATCATCTCACGTATCAATGCATCTTATAATGGTCACCACTTCACTATGAGCTAGTTTTTTTTGAGTTCATCAAATGATTGGGTTTCTATTGATTAGGCAAATAAAGTGCTCTTTTAGAATGATTTTGATTAGTAAGTTGTGAGATATTTGATGGAAAATTGCCTAAATAGAAGTATACCATAAGTGTTTTCTTCAAATATAGATATTATGTTTCTCCCTAAATAACATGCTAAAAACTTTGCCTAAATAGAAGTATAACATAAGTGCTTTCTCCAAATAGAAGTATTACGTTTCTCCCTAAATAAACATAAATAATGTCATCTTAAGCCTATAAGATATAATTATGATTGTATAACGATAAAAATATAATGTTAGTATGAGTATGATAATATGGTTTGAAGATCGATGACACTAGTTTATTCGTATTTAGGAATAAGACATAACCTCTTATTTAGGAAAAGTATCTATCTTTCACTCCTATTTAGTGAAATATTCCAAAATAGAGGGAAGAAAGAAAGTAACACTTCCTGGTAATATGTGACAACAAATGACTTTCATCCCACTTCCTTTAATAGGAAGATGCCATTATTATTTGTGCTTCTAGTTTTATTCCACTTTAAGTAATGGTATGCATGAAAAGTATGGAGAGAAAATATACATCTTGCATAATTATGTGCAAGGCACACCACTGGGCTGTTTTTTGTGATAAGGGGTATATAATCTTCTCATATGAGGCTAGAAGTATACATACAGTAAACATGAGAGTTAATGTAGATTTTACTCTAGAATCTTACACAAGATAGTAGAATATAGCAATCCAAATGACATATTCCTACATCTCAGGATCTCCCTAAGGGTGATTTTTTAAGTAGGCGGGAATGCTTTATTTAGACTTTAGAGCGACACGTAGTCACAAGAAGCGTGCGATATATGCATTCAGCTACAAAAGAAATGAATGCATGATGTGCTTATGCATTTATGTTATGTAGTATATTTAATGGTAACCAAGAGGAGCCGGTGCCTCCTTCAATTCTTTCCCCTGAAAACGTATATCCTGCATGCACATACATTCAATGCAAAATTTCAATTACCATCAAATCGATTGAAACTACTGAAAACCAGAAAACCAAAATGATGCATTCATGCTTACAGAAGCAAAGTGGTTGACATCTCTATGATGTGCTTCATCGGCACGAATGACGGTAATAACATCCTTTAAAGTTGCATCCTTTGGAAGCCTCCAATAGTCTATTGCAATGGCAGGAGCAGGAACGTTCTCAATCTTCCCACTCTCTATATCTTTAAGGAACTCTGTGTACGAATGTATGGCCTCCTCTTCCAAGTACCCCACGATTCTGTGTGCCACTTTGGATGAAGAGAGGTAGAGCAGAAAGAAACAATTGAAGAACACTCCCTGAACTGCAAGAACCAGCAGCCGTTCATACCACTTAGGCTGCACAAGCTCCACCATCGTCATCAGGTGCATCCTCTCGTTCTCAGCTTCTTCTAGTAATGCTTTGATCCACCCTCCACTCTGCTCAAACTTACGGAGAGACCTAAGGTGCAAAAGAAGCCCTCCTACAAGACCGGGAACGGCTGCCACTGTTTCCAACATCACTGCGCGGCACCCGTATCGCCTCTTCAAACGGAACACAAGTATGTTGATAATATAGTACAACTAATCTCTTGCAATACATAATTAATGTCTTGCCACAAACAATTAACATTTGGTAGAGATAAACTAGTGTCTTCTCAAAGAATAGTTTGATGTGTAAACAATTTATAAACTTTTTAAATATGTCTCTTCACAATACAAGAGTTGTTTGACAATTCAGACAGAATGATTGTTTGATGACCCGACTCAATCGTATTTAGTGCTATGTATTTTGCGCTCAAAAGACAATATATTTGTTATGTATAAAAGTTTATAAATTGTTTACACATCAAACTATTCTTTGAGAAGACACTAGTTTTTGAGTAGAAAATCAAGAAAGATTACACTCAAATTCTTCAAGATTTCATAAATATAGTATTACTTGTACCGAATTTCTATATAAAAAGTAGGAGAGAAAGATTGAATTATCTCTCAAACAGGTATTGTCTAACTCTAATTTTACATTTGGGACCACGAATGTAAAACTCTAACAATTTACACCTTTAAGTTAAACTGTCACAACAATCCTATGTATAATTAATTATTCACATATGACATAAGACCTTGAAAGAACATAATTAACTATAGGATAAATTAAAAAAGTTTAGCATTTTTTTAATTTAGAGACTTTGATAAATTTACTTGTAAATTTATTCATAACAATAAGGCATGTGATTCTCAAACGGCTAAATTTGTTACTTCTGGGTATTATGCACATGATCAATCATAACACATGTGATGTGATGCATTCTTAAATTAAGAGTGACTACCACAATATCCAAGCCTTATTCCCAAAAGTTTACGGGGTCGTCTAAATCATACGCATCAGGCAGGTGTTTTAGCCGACGCCAAAATTTGTTGGGAATAAGGCTTGAATTTTGTTATTGTAGTCACTCTTAATTTTAAAAATGCATCAAATTGCATGTGTTATAATTGATCATGTGCATAATTTCATGAAGTAACACAATTAGCCGCTTGAGAATCACATACCTTAGTGTTGTGAACGCATTTACAAGCAAGTTTTTCAAGTAAACTAAAAGTGACTAATGCGCATAGTTTGTATATGATTAGTCAGTCTGTGTTTTAAACCCGATATAGAAACAAAAGTTCGACATTGAAAAACTTGAGGATATATAAAAAGGGTTTGCGTCGACTTGTGGTGGGTTTTAGGAGGTGATGTATTTTAGTGGTGATAGACAAAATGTTCAATAGCAAAAAAAAATATTTAATAAGAAACGCTTTTGAGGAAATAGATGCCAGTGGCTTTGGTAAAAACTTATTTTTATGTGTTATATTTATCAAGTTCATAGTATTAGAAAAAAATAAAAAGAAGTTGCATGTACTAACACCCCCTGCCCATATCTTAAAGAACGTTTTGTATTCTTTTATGGAAGCCTCTATATAAAATTATATTTTCTTATTGGATAAAAGAAATCTTATCAATTTATTCTGCTACAGTCAATTAATAATGACTCTACTATATCAAATAATGAAAAACAATGTAATCTACGTTAATACTTACCTTAAGTCAATTTGGTAGTTTAGGGAGAAGGAAATATTCATATTCCGTATTTATTTGAAGTGTGTTTTATTCAAGCTAACAATCTCTTTAAGGAATAAAATGAGTATTCAGATCAATTTAAATTCACTACTTAGCTTTAATACAGTGAAAAGAGACGAGCACGATATTTGGTGTTTGTCTAGAAAAAAATACAAAAGAAGCTTTTTGAAAGAAGAAAATTACTTGAGATATGACAAAAAAAAACTAATTTGTTCATTGTATGACTATGTGGTTTGCTATCCTAATCCTAAAGTAATATCCATTCTTTTCCATGCATATTAATATGTATATGTATATGTATCTCTAGCTATTTGTATCATCCACGTTTAAATGTCTTTATTATTAGTTATATGTACGTGATTACTTTACATGATTTTAAGATTCATACACATATAATAGGAACATGCCATTGTTTAGTCTGTAATTTTTGTATTTCCACCGAAGAATGGCAAGTCCTTCTCTTAATTAACTGAAGAAGTTAATTAGATACTCGACCCTTTCATATATGCATGCAATCATCACATAATTAATACTATGTAGTACGTATGATGATGATAAAAAAAAACAAGCATGCAAGCCAAGAATTGATAATGCGCGTACCTTAAAGAACAAGTCAGTTGGGATTCTTAGCAGTTTCACCGTTCGGAAGGCAAACTTGTCACTGAACGTCTTTGGTACATGGTGCTTGCTTAGATCTATCGACAAGTCTGCTTCATATGTCTCCCATGGCTGCAATACAATTAGGCAATTAGCTAGATGAGAATACATCATTATTAACAGGTTGTGTTATGAGAAAATTGCCCAGAATCGAGATCCCAATCTCCAACTACCTATGTTGCATGGAATCGTAGAAATCATGAAGAAATATGAAACATGAGACATAATCTTTTAATGAAAAAAATAAGTTTTAAAAAAGTTTCAAAATGCCTCGTAGAGTCCCAAAAAAGGAGATCAGAGATGCAATGTACTCTTTCCCAACACGTGTTTTTGAGCCAGCAACGTTTGCGTTCATCTCATAACAAAGCTATTTAATTTTGATTAAAGATTCTACATGTAATGATTGTCAAACGCTAACACGCATTACTTATAATTATTGGTACAAATGATATGACATGATTAATAAATGGATTATTATACGCATGTAGTAAAATTATAAATAGCTAGTTACCATGAAACAGTTCCATGGCCATGCACTACCATCTTCTCTCATGATCTTAGGTCGGACGACCCCCCAATAGCTCGAAACTATCAACTCGTTGTTCCTCTCCTTCTCCTTCAAATCGTTGTCACCTTTCTTCTTGTCCTCGTTTTTCTTTATTGTGGCAGTCGACTTTGGAGAAATCACATCCGGAAATGAGCTCATCGCTCTTCTGCTCCCCCACTGAAAATAGAGCACCCTCGTCGCCATCACCGGTTCACCCGATGGCGTCAGCAATGGAGACACCTTTGCAGTTGCAGTCAATGACGCCGAGAATGATTCAATGCATCGGCATGCAGTGCCACTGGTAATCAACCGTCTCATCACGTTCCTCGAGAATAATTGCTTAATTATCTTGTCAAGAACAATGTGTTTAATGATCAAAATATGTTATTAGTGTGCTTAGATTTAGAAGTTTGTTGTGTTGAATTGGAATAGTTATTTAGAACTACAAAAGAAGCGGACAAATTATGTGCCACAAAATCGTCCTCATAGTGAGAGTTTTGAGGTGTTATATATCTGGCACGAGAGTCTTAGTTATGGTCAGATTTTACTGGAAAGGTATAATACTATGATCTCTAAGCAAATTATATACGAGGTATATGACACGATTGGGTTTATATTTTTGTACGGAGTATATTTTTATTGAATTTTTTTATACGAAGTATATAATAGCCACTAGATTATTAGTCCTCCTATTACATTAACAAACTTTTAAAACTATGATCCTTTTTTCGTACTTTATCAAACCAGACTTAACGGGTATGATACCGAATGGTTTTAATCCCAAAATCGAATCATATCAAACCATTTGAAATCTCATTGTATGATATGGGTTTTGGTAATTTACAAGATCATTTTGGACCAGTAGTGGATCCATGAATAAGAACTATTGGGACAGGGTAATACACAAAGTATGTCCAAAAGAAATACTTCAATAAAATATATTAGATCAAATAGAAAAAAATTGGTGTAAAGTATACTACAATTGTTCCACACCAAATAAAATCTATTATAATATTAATAATCCCTAATAAATTTGATCATGATTGTTTTTCTTGAGATCTCATCATTTGAAAGTGATCTATTACAACTTCATTTGTGAGTGTTAACTCTATGATATAAAGTATAAACCTCTTTGAATAAAAGTATAAAACAACTAGATTGTAACTCAAAAACTAATCACGAATCGATTCTATTTCTCAAATTAGTCATCTGAATTAACTTGTCAAGGCATTGAAGTACTATTAGACATATTTGTGCTTGAACACGCCGGTGTCAATAAGGGTGTTTTATTAAAAATGTGTCCATTAAATCTAATAAAAAATGAAAAGTTAAGTTTTTGTGTTAACTCTGTAAAACCGGTAGTAAATGCGTGTGGTTCTGCTTTTACTATCTTAACAATATTTTAGCCTAGAGGTGTTAATGACATTATTATGTAATTAATTTTACATAGGAATAAATTTATTTGCATTGTTCAATAGTTATTTTTAAATTTTATATTGTTAATTACTTAATTCTAACCTACTACCCTATAATTACTAGCTACTCTATTAGCATTTTTATTATGATAAGTTATATTGTATTTTTTTATTAAAGGTAAACAACATCTAGGAATAACACAAAACCACACCACAGTCCGCAACACTTGACCTTGCCCATTTGTTGTTCTCAAATCTAGCTACTTATTGGTCTTCTACTCTTCTGATCATTTTCACTTCTTGAATCTGAACCTAATTCAATTCTTCTACTTTTAGGGATTTAAATCATTTAATTGCTATTGATTCGCTTTTATATTAGCCTCAATGAAAAATTAGAAAAGGTTTTACTTTAGGCATTGATGAACCTTTGGATTGTAGATTAATGGGGGCATTTCTAGTTTTTATATTTATTGGGGTCATTTATACTTTTTAATGGGATGCAAATGTGTGGGCTCATATTTTTCCTAATGGATAAAGGGCAATTAATGGAAGTTTATTAGGGAAGCCCCCCCCCCCCCCCCACACACACACATTCTTTCCTATAGATCCACCCCTATTCCACATTTGACCGCCTATGTGATGCTGATTACACCAGTGAAGATGAACCATTGAACATGTTTCACTGGATTAAAGAAGTACCCTTTTGTTTAATTTTAATCTTGAAATCGTGTACCTAAATATTGTCTAATCTTTTACGAAACTTGTTCTATCTTTACAAACTCAAGGAAGAAGAAAACACAATTGATAGTTATGCTGTAAACCACTAGTAGTATTATATAGAGAAAACAAAACAAAATAAGATAGAAATGAAGTAATGTGTAAAAAATATTTTTCAGATCCCTTATAACTATCCACATGGGGTTTTTATAATACTGCCATCGCCCCATTTTGTAAGCTACAATTTCCTTTTTAGGTGATTTAAAAAATATGAACACTTTCCTGAATTATACTCCACTAACTTTTCACTCTCGTGAATTGTACTCCACCTTTTACTTTTTGTGGATCAAACTTTTTCTTTTTTTCTTTTTGGAGGTTAGAAATGTAAAATAACTGTTTTATCCTTTTTTCCTTAAAACCCGCACGAAACCTATATGTATCTTACATTATGAGGCATAGGTTGTAGTAATAAATGAGATGAGCATTTAATGCACTATATATAGGACAATGGAGTGGTGAACAAAGTGTTTAGGGTGTGGAGACCCCTTAGCTACCGCATTGGCAGGTTGGCTATCCACGATCACATGTCCGCGCCATTGAGCAGGCAAGGCGGCTACCTTCGGCTGTTTCCATGTCGGGATGGCGTGTTGGCTATCTAGACTGGCAAGGCGGTTGTTGTTGGACCGATCGGTCGACCATCCGAGTCAACATGTTACATGTCGACACCCTTGAGTTAATAAGTCGATTGCATACAGGTAGAGTTGTCAAATGGGTCAATCCAATCCAATCCATCTTGTGGTGGATTATAAGTTTAGCGGGTTAGGGCGGGCCAACATGTTTTGTGACATATGAGTCTTTTTATAACTCGAACCTAGCTCACCTAACTCGTGGGTTTCATAGAGCTACATGCAGACCAAAAGTGTATAAAACAAAGAAATAATTATTAAAATTTAAGTCTAAACAAAAATAATGTGTTTAAATAAAGCCCCCCAAAAGACTCGAAATAAAAAATGCAAAACGAAAACATTCAGACTATCTAAATTCAAATCTAAACAAAATTTGATAACTTCATACTACAATTATCACATAACACTTACTTTTCTAAATAATTTCTCCATCTCAAGATGATTTCCTTAAATAAATGATCAATGTCCTTATACGTCTTGAGCGAGTTGCGGATCTGAGCCAACTCCAATACTTCCATCATCTTTACATAGTAAATTAACCATTCAACATACAAGAATTGCATAACCATGAAGAATAAGATTACATTAAGAAATAGAAATTACCTTCCTCATAAACTTCATAGCCATTTAACCTGTCACGAGTGCACAATAATGCTTGCAGATGCGAAGGACGAGTAACCCTCTCTGGTGAGGTTTTGGTCTAATCCCCCTCGTCTTGATGTACTTTTAATTGCTAATAAAATCTTGTTAACGTTCCTTATCATTTACCCCACCGATTTTGGCAGTTTGCCTACCGGTTTTTAAAAAAATGTGATGGAGGAGTAAAACTTCTCTATTTAGTCAGAACACGAGAACCAATGCTTAAAGCCGTTATGCCACCATGGTGGTAGGAACACTGAGCACATCACATCCAGGGTCAGCTTTGGGGTCAGTTCGGTCTTCACGTGTCAAGAGGGCCTTCAAAAAAAATACGGAGTATTAGTATTAGGCATACTTGGTCTACAACTTCTCATCCTACCCGCGACCGCATACCTCCCACCACCCGTACGCCTTGCCGTAGTGCGACTCTCCTTCTCAAACGTTAGGTACGTATCAGTTCTCTTAGCTCGGGAAAATCTCAAAGTTTCTCCCGTTTCTCACTTTCCGTATTTCAACCTAGAATTTAGATTTTTAGTTAATAAAATAGTGAAATGTGGAGTAGATAAAGTCAAAAATCTATAGATAAAGGGTTGCCTAAAGGCTAAATCTGTGAAACATACGACATAGTGTAGACAAGCACTAAAGTTGTCAATTAGTAAATGCAATTTTTTGTATTGTATGCTATTTTGAGGTGAAAAATCTTGAAATGCTAGATGGTAAATATTCCATACAAGTGAATGAGTGATTGCACTAATTTTGTTACAAATAAATTATGAAATACTGCGTAGTATCTTTGTTTGATTTGTCAATGAAATCAGAAGTTTTAGGTACTTTGTTAATTAAATTGTTTGTGATTTTTGTATTACCTATTTAGAAGTGTTGGATTACATAAAAGATATGCATATATCTTTTCCAAATGCTTGGATGGCTTACACAATTTTGTTTAACTATATCGGTGACCGTGTCTGTTGCGGAAAAAGACTTTTCAAAGTTAAAACTGAAAACATGATCTACGGTCAACCATTTCGGAAGGTAGACTAAGTGGCTTAAAATCATTGAATTAACCAACCATACATCATGCTTGTTGTCTACCCTCACCCTCCATCTAGACTCTATATAACATTAGGTCATCTCACTCCTTGATCAGACATATATTAGACTACCCAAAAATTTGCAAGACTAGTCACTGAACGTGCGAGAGATTTGAAGCGATTATCGGCTAGAGCCTTGTTACTTCTTCTCAAGATTGAATGCCAACATGAGTTGATGATTCCAGTTTTTGGTTAAAAGCATAAATGTTTAAGGTTTACCACTATTTTAGATCTGTTTTTGAAAGTTGTGGTGAATCGTGCTCTTAAAACTTGAAGCTATGTGCGGGATACAAACCCAAGAAGTGCCCACCCAATACGAATAATGATGTTGACTAGCCAAATTAAAGGAGGTAACACTATATATGTTTCTCTAGGTCTTCATTATATTTTCTTTTATAGATGTAGTTATTAAGTCTTTATTAACTGTTCACATGTTTCAGTTTTTCTAATCTAGTGTAACCTTTAGAAACTACAAAAATCTATACAATATGCGTAGTTGAGTAAAACTATAATGAGAAGTCATTGAAACTACCTGAAGTTTTTCGTGTAGTAGAATAGGTTCACATTGTTTGTAATTATTTAGAAATTTAGTTTGCATATTCTTTGGTATTGCGTTATTTTTATTATCGACTAGATGTTTCCTAAAACATAACCTGTTTTAGTGTGTACATGAGATTTTTCACATACTCGATATGTAAAATACCAGATCATGATATCTTTAGGCTCATCCATTCAAGAATATTATTTATTTTGTATGGTGAAAAATCTGTCTGGAAGCAGGAGAAAACTTAATTAGAAATTAAAACGAGAACATGAACGGCTAGCAATAATTTAAGTTGTAGGGAACGCATTCACCTAGCAACGATTCATAGTCCCACTTCTAATATGCATGTATACTTCTTGAATTTCTTAAATTATGACGTCTAGTATCCCGTATGCGGTATGCCTGCTATTAACCTTGATCATCATTTTGAAATGGCGAACAAACAAAAATGAAACTTTATAGTTATCTGATACATTTTTTTCATTTTGTTGAAAATAATAAAATGCTAACTTTAAGAAATTTTCTCTTTTGTGTTCTTTATTTAGATCTTACTGAGATGTATGCTGAATATTTTTACAAACACATATGAGAAGTATTTGATATGAATGTCAACTATCAGGAATATCAAATTTAATGTGGCAGTGTCGCACCGGAAATTTATGGTGCATTTCTCAACCGAGTTGAAGTTTCATCAATGATGGATGTACCAATTCCTTAAATGTTTAGAAGATGCTTGGTAACAAAGTCCTTCCATACTTAATTGACCACTTGCTATCATCAAGAAGAGTGTAGGAATAAAGCTTCCCACGACTATTCTTAACTGGGATCCAACCTCACTTGCATCATAAATTGAAGAAGTGGAGTTGCCTAATGCTTTTCATCCATTTGTGCTGTTGGATTAAGAACTTCATAGTATTCTATATGCACTTTGATACTTTGGAGCTTTCGTTCTATTTATGATTTTTTTGATAGATTAGTATTTTATGATGGATTCTTTAAAATGTTATCATGGTTTAATTTTAACTTCTATACATTAGATGTTGTCTTGGATATTTCCATATTAAAAATTGTTATACTATGTAATACAGAGTACTTTTTTTATATTATTGATCATTGAAAGTGTCCAACATATTGCAAAAAATATGGTAGTTGTATACAAACTTATATGTTACATAATCATTGAAAAAAGTGTAGCTTAAAATGTGTTGTATTTTTTTTTTAAATGTTGCATAAAATGTGAATATAAGTGCTGCATAGTACTCCGTATAAAACAAATGTTGCAAATAGAAACAATACAAATCTTACATAAATATATTAAAAGTGTTACGTAAATTCATCTTTCAAGTGTTGCATTTTATAATAAAGAGTGTTGCTTAAGGTAATGGATCAAAGTGTTGCAAAATAGTGTTGCATTTGTTTCTTTTATGTAACATTTCTATTTAATGTTGCATAACATGAGAAAAAGTGTTGAATAACACTTTATGCAACAACATCTGAAGTAACACTCTCCAAAGCGTTGCTTAAGCCTTTCACTATATAACACTTTCACTATCTATGCAACACTTTATTGGCATTACAAATGATCCATTTTGTTGTAGTGATATAAATATCCATCTCCTTGTCACCGGATTCAATAAGAAAAATAAATAAAAGTACTGAATGAAAACATAAAAATTAAAACATGCAAGAATAACTAAAGAAAGTTTTCAAACTCTAGCCATTCATTCACTTCATGGCGGCAGTTCAGGAGGGGATGAACCGATACCACTTCATCTTCCTCCTCCAAAACCAACTAATCGTAGATCAGATCTTGATCATCACGCTTGCCTTGCTTCCTAATTATCTTGAGCTCTGCTGCTTGGGGACACTTACGCCACTCCATCGCACCTTGCTCTGCCGCTGAAGTCCCTCTGAACGTAAATTATCGCTGCAACCAAAACCTTAAGCCGGATTTCGAATCCGTCGATAAGCAATATTCTACCCTAGACGAATGATGGATACTTGGATCTTCACCCCTTCGCCGGCTCGCTGAATTTGTCCTAGCAGTCCTGGTACTCCCCGCCGCCGGGTTCTGACGCCGTTGAGCAGCCAAACTTACCGTAGACTAATGCTAGGTCTAACGTCTTGATATGATGTGATGTTTTCATCTTAAAAAAGATGTAACAAATTAGATACTGAATACAGAGTATGTAGCTATATACTCCGTATTAGGGAAATCTTTTAATAATATTAAATAATTATCTCTATAAATGATTATTGCACACTAAACACTTCATTTAACCATTGAATTCATTTTACCATTAAATACTTGATTAAACACTCCATTTCGTGTTGATTTGACGGGATTCTTAAGATTGTGATAACAAATAAAGTTACATTTAAGATTTAAGTAAATTAAAATAAAATGACACACAAAAGAAAACATTCATTTTGGACCATTTCAAAAAGATACTAATATATTTGGGAGAACTATCAAATAAGCCCTCGAACTTTCATAAAAAGTGCAAATAAGCCCTTTTACAGGAGGCTTTGTCCGGCTGTCGCCATTTGGGGAGGTTTCCGGTGGAACTTTTTGATGAATTTTTTTGAGCATCTTCTTAAGTAAGTCTAGTTTACCCATACCAAATTTCGGCTAAAAACTCAATCGAGAAAGCAGTCAAATGATTTTCTGAAATATACTACGCTGTCTAACTGCGCAATTATGTTCAAAAATTCATTTGACTGCCTTCCCGATTGAACTTTTAACTGAAATTTGGTATTAGTAAACTAGACTTAATGAAGAAGATGCTAAAAGAATTTCAACAAAAAATTCCATCGGCAACCGCCCCAAATCACGATGGCCGGGCAGAGCATCATATAAAAGAGCCTATTTGAACTTTTTATAAAAGTTCGAGTACTTATTTGGTAGTTCTCCCAATATATTTCAAAAGGATACTAAGACACATCCAATCGAACCGGGAGTAATATATTTTTCGTCTAATAAAGAAGGGAACATCTTGAAATTTACACTATTTACTTACGCTACTTTGACTACATTTTATATATTAATGTATTTAAAAATATTAAATTTATCTCATTGTAAATTTTTGAAATATGATTTTTTAAATTTTAAATTAATACAAAATTTTCCAAAAAAACTAATGCGAAAAAAAAACTAATGCGGAATATAAAATACGGAGTAATACTCGTACTCTGTATATATTAAGAGAAATTACCATAAATATGGCTAACAAGGTTTGTATATATTCTAAAATAGGACTCTCATGTTTTTATTCTCAAAACAGGATTAATTACTGTCATGTTTTGGCAGTATCAAACTTTTAATATGATACTCCCTCCGTCCCAAAAACAAATTCTCAGTTTGACTAGCACACACATTTAGGTAGATTAAAATTTTGGTTTGACTTTCTCAAAATTTTACTGTTTTGACATTGTTTGGACACTGTTTAGCACTGTTTGGACACTATTTAGCACTGTTTGTCACTGTTTGACACTGTTTTGATATTGATAATTTGCCAAATAAGGAAGTGCGAAGAAGTGTGAAATTAATTTTGAGACATCCATTTAAGGAAAGTGGGAAGTTGTTTTTGGGATGAAGGGAGTACAATTTTTTAATTTTGACGATAATTACTTCTATTTTGAGAATAAAAAAGACACTAATGTATGTGATCCCCTCCGGGGCTCTGACTGTATGAGCACGAGGTATGAACAGTACACAAATAGAATACACGAAAAAGTCAACAAAGGAGGGCCAAAGCCATATTTTGCCTACACACGCAGAATGCAATTACCAAAATTGGAGAAACTTTCAACGAACTCTACATCAATTTCTTAATTTTCTTTCTCCGTCTGTTTATGCCAATTTGATTACTGGGTGCATAAAAAATCAGGGTCAGCGGCAGAGTCAAAATCCAGTAGGTGAACAATTTTTTTTTTCCTCCTTGTCTTTTCTTGAAAATTCTCTGATACCATTCGATCGACGAGTTGGACGCAGTGAACTTGGAATAGACGAGGTGAAAAAGTTGTTCTTTTTCTGCAAATCAGGTTTTCGTAGTTATGCTTATTTGATTTTCTTGATGATCAAGTTCTTATTTTTTTGTATTTCAGGGGTATAAAATTTCAAGATTTCCAATCTTTTGAAGTTTAGATGTTTTTTAGGAGAAGAGGAAGCTGAGTTTGAACTGAACTGAATGATATGGATTGTCTATGCTGTTCCGATACGGTGAGGTGTTTTACTAGTACTAGCAGCAATTGTTTGGGATCCATTTAGCTTCTATGCCTGCTAGTTTGTGTGGTTTTTATTGGACTAATTACAATTCAAGTTTCGATGCCTCGTTCTGGGGATATGATTTGAGTGAGTTCGACCCTTGTATCATTGAGTGTATTGGTAGGGTTTTAACCGAGTCATGTAAAAAAACTGAAATATACAATCGATTCTTATTGGAGGTAAGTACTTCTAGGCGGAAGAGGTATCCTGCTGTCTGCATAAGATGCATTTTGTTTCATTTTTGAATGTTTATGACGGACAATTGAATTGCAAGAAACTAAAGATTGAACTTTGCAAATGCTTTTGCCCCCCTCCATTCCCCAATGGATATTACTGGCTGTGTTTATCAAATAATCGTTGCCTTGTTGCAAGCTGTTTGGAATTAGTGTTGAATATTACCACGTAACACTTTTGAGTAACTTTTTACTTTAGTTGTTTATGCAAAGATGTTTGGTAGCATTGGTAATTGTACTTATGCCTCAACCGTAAGATGTTTAAATACGTAATGTTAGAAAAATAATGAGCTTCTCTAAAAAATGACATTTGTTTACCGGTAAATAGGTAATAATAGGAAGCATTATTGAAAAGCTTTTCCAAAAAGCTTCAAACTCAGTCATTTCTTGAAATCAAGCCTTTAGGCACTCTGGCTTATGATACAAGGTGCTTACCAAAATAAAGATTAGCTTTTTTGTTGTGGTTGTTAAACTACTACTCCCTCCGTTCCGCTAACAATGGGACAAGAGGGAGTGACACGCAAATTAATAAAAAGTGTTTTATGTGGTTGTAATTGAATTGATAAAGTAAGAATAAAGTAAGAATGATTTAGAGCCACACAAACTTTACCAAATTTGGTATGGGACAATCTTAGTGGGACGGACCGATAAGGTAAAATGGGACAATCATAGCGGGACGGAGGTAGTAATTCAGAATTTTAAAAAGAAGCTAAAAGCTCTTCAATATGCTCTCCACCAAACAGTGCATATATTCTCGTTTTGGACTATCTGCAAAATGAATGTGGATTTAGGCAGGCAATAGCTGGTGTTGGTCTCGAAACTGATATAAAAAAATGCTACTGTAGCTTGCAGGAGGAGGGTCATCAGTACGTTGTGGCAAAGGAAGAAGCAATGAAGGTCGCGTGAAGTATGGTTTCAGCTTAGTTAAAGGGAAAGCAAATCATCCTATGGAGGATTTCCACGTTGCAAAGTTTGTTCATTATAATAAAAAGGAAGTTGGACTTTTTGCCATTTATGATGGACATTTGGGAGACAGTGTACCTGCTTATCTGCAAAAGCATTTATTTTCTAATATATTGAAGGAGGTTAGCTACATTCTCTTTTGCTATTCAAAGCAATTGTCAATGCATAGCTTTAAGATTTCATGCTATTTTTTGAGTATGTTTGGCACGCTCATATATAAAAACTAGTTGGATGCCTAAAATTAGCTTTAAACTTACTAATAGCTAGAAATGAAAGTTACTTAATGGCCGTGAATTTGGTGATAAGCTGAAACTCAGTAGTTTATCCCTTTTAAGTGATAAAGGTGCCATCTCAGATATGGTTGTTAATATTTGTAGATAGTCAATTCTTGATTCATGTGCATCTGGATATGTATTGGTTTAAATTCCTGTTTTTTTCTTATTGTTTTCTTGCTGCTTGTGGTCATACCTGCTTCGTGGATGGAAATATGGATTATCATATGGAGTATGTTTGGGATGATCTGCTATAAGTGCTCTTGTAAGAAGTGCTTTATCATTTAAGGATTATAAGTGCCTTATCTCCAATTATCCAAGTTGGTGCTTTCCTAAATGATCACAAAAGCACTAAGAGTTAAGAGCACTTGTCATTTTCTTTGCCAAATGCTTATTTTTAAAGAAAAAGTACTATTCTTCAATCTTCATATAGAAGCAGTTAACTCTTTGATAATAAGTCATCCCAACCACACTTATAATATTGTTTTTTCAAACATAATTGTAATTTTGATATGCTGTTAGACTCAACCAATTGCCCCAGGAGGAGTTCCCTGGTCAACCACATCCAGCAATCTTTAAAGCATATGAGAAAACAGATCAAGCTATTATCTCACACAACCCTGATCTAGGCAGAGGCGGCTCAACTGCAGTAACAGCCATTCTAATAGATGGCACTTTGTGGGTGGCTAATGTTGGGGATTCGCGAGCAGTCCTTTCAAAACGGGGACATGCTATACAATTGTCAATTGATCATGAACCCGATAACAATACTGAGCGGGGCTTCATAGAAAATAGAGGCGGTTTTGTCTCTAACATGCCTGGTACCAACCTATACTCATTTATGCTGTTTGTTTTGCCTCCTGTATATTCCCCCCTGCATCTGTTCTACTAGGCTTCCACACGGACCAGATCGGTTCGGCTCCAGTTCCGGAACCACTGGAATCCAGGAACCCTTACCCGAACCGGTTCCGTCTCTGGTTTTGGATCTAAACTGTTTGTTATTACTTTTTTTGCCTTAGAACTATTATCCTCTAGTTCAGTTCCCGGTTAAGAAATCGAAACTTAACTACCATGTTTTAATTTTTACTGTTGAACGTCTGTCCCATTATCTAGTTCATGTGTTGATGATTTTAATCTTCTTTGTTACGGGCTCGGTGACATGAAAGTTGTAGTGTGTAAAATTGGTTAATGTATAATAAATTCATTCACAAAAGGAAAACCTTGGGAATGTTTTACCCCACGATCCCTCCCTGTCGCAACTTCATAAAAGATAAATAATGCGATGAAATTCCCGAAGGTGATGAGCTTATAGTTGAGGTAGTAGTTATAGCTATGCTAAGATCCCAGGCATCCTTATGACTTAAGGCGTTGTTTGGTTGGGAGATATAGGAGGTTTTTATCAATTATCTTCAGATTTAGGTGGCTGGAAAAAACTGAGGATGAAAAGTGATGTTGTAATATACTAAACTACTAATACACTAACCTCCGCCCCATTTTTTTGACAAATATTGACTTACCAAGATTAAGAATCTTGAAAATTGCATGGTTGATATTTATGCAAACATAGAAACAATGTAAATCATAAATTTGTTTCATTAACAAGAAAATTCAAAACTTTTTGTGACAGCAAAATTGGAAAGTTAAATTTGCAAAAGAAATTGGGAAAGAGGTAGTATGATTCCACTAAACATATACTTTTAAAGTTATTTTTTACTATAATACTAACTGATAAGCGATAAATTATTAATACAAAAACTATCCTCCATCCCCCAACTCCAATTCACTCCATACCAAATGTGGGTAAATCAGTTTTTTAGAACAGCTTTTCTCTTCACAATACAATAGAGTATGCATGCTGAGGCTGATAGCTTTTGTTGCTGATAAAATAAACTTGTTGAGTCAAGCATCTTGAATATCCCCCCTCCACTTTGGATGTTTCCAACGTAAGAGTGGACATAAAACCATGTTTGGATGTCTCTATCCCAGGAGACGTTGCAAGAGTAAATGGACAACTTGCGGTTTCGCGTGCGTTTGGTGACAAGAACTTAAAGTCCCACCTGCGATCTGATCCAGACGTTACTAGTGCTGCAATCAGGGAGGACAGTGATCTCCTCATCCTTGCCAGTGATGGCCTCTGGAAGGTCTTACTACCCCATTGACACACCCTTCATTTTCTTTCCTTTCATTGTTATCTTTTATCGGTGCTGAGGACAAGTCTTATCTATCTTCACTCAGGTAATGACTAATCAAGAGGCTGTTGATATTGCAATGAAGATCAGGGACCCTATGAAGGCAGCAAAGCAATTGGCCAAGGAAGCGTTGGAAAGAGACAGTAAAGACGACATTTCTTGCATTGTTGTCCGTTTTTTGCGTTAATGGGGAGATTCAAGCTTTGCACAATCTTCCCCTTTCCCTTTCCCCAGTATATATAAAAGGCCATTCTATATATATATAAATAAATATATATGTAATGTGACCAGGATTTTATTACAGAAAAGTGTTCCAATGAGACTTCAGAGTATTAGCAGCAGCATAGCGTGTGTATCCTAGAAAGTGATTTATATGACTCACCCATCCCCTGGTGTAATATGTTTTATTGTTTTATTCAGGTTGTGCGATAATTATATATTGATTTCTTCATTGTGTAGTTATTATTACTCACATGATAGTACTATGATTATTTAGTTTTTTTTTCCTTGAATAATTATGAAATAAAAAATACATATTTCGATGTAAAAATAAATAAATTTCATTAATTATTTTAATGTTTTTCGATTAACAAAAAATGAACTTAGTTCAAGTAAAGTTCGATTATGGAATATTCAGTTATTTTTGAAGGCTTCATAAATCAAAATTTTGTGTTTCGTGTTTTTTTGGGCTCAAGAAAAGTTCAACAACTAAAAATTCAGATTTCTTTTTTCATTTTATATATTATATGTTGGTTTCATATGAAAGATCTTAAAGGTTCATGATTTTTGATATATTTTTCAAAAAAGTTGGAGAACAAATACAAAAGTTATAAGAGTGAAACAATTTAGGGTAATAATGACATCACCATGACGGAAGTCTGCTTTCTTTGCAGCGTATGAAGCGGCAGACCGCACTCCCTCATTTTCTTTTCTTTTTCATTTTTTTACTATGTCAACCCAACCTCTATTTTTATACTTCTCCACTTCTCTTTCCACTTTTGCTCCCCATTTTTATTCACCCAATTAAGAGTCAAAGTTCTATTTTTATTATTTGACTCCTAATCTTTAAGACTATTTGGAGTGGTAAGGTATTAGAAGTTCAAAAAACTAAATGTGGAGCTTTTGGACACCTAATTATGTGTAGTGAAAGTTTAAAAGGGGTCTTAAAAGTGGGAAAGGGGATGAAGGAGGTTAAATATAGATAGTGAGTTTAGAGGAGTGGGAAAAGGAAAAATATGGAAAATAATATATAAAAGGGAAAACTATCAAATAAGTCCCTGTACTATACCGAAAAAGTCGATTAGGCCCTCGTACTTTACAAACACTCAATTAAGTCCTCGAACTATTAAAAAACGTTCAATTAAGCCCTTTTGGTGGGTAAGTAACCGATTTACCGGTTAAACAACGACGATGGCGACGATGTGCTCGAACTCCAGCAACAACGGCTTCCGGGAAACAGGTTACATTTAACCGGGAAACCGGTTACTTACCGACCGAAAGGGCTTAATTGAACGTTTTTTAATAGTTCGAGGACTTAATTGAGTGTTTGTAAAGTACGAGGGCCTAATCGACTTTTTCGGTATAGTACGAGGGCTTATTTGATAGTTTTCCCTAAATAAAAGAAAGAGTTGGCTGCGATGTTTTCTTTTGATTCGGATGATGTCATGTTGACGTCATCCTTGCATCATAATATCCCAAATTTTTTAAAACTTGTATATCTTTTTGTTTGTCCTCCAAATTTTCCAAAAAATATATCAATGTTGGATAATTGGTACTCATATTGTATGAAAAGGAGATATTGAACTTAGTAAATGGAAAAGAAGGATGAATAGTAGAAATGATATGAGTTGTATACGTTTGTGTGTGTTCTTTACAAGCCTCCTATGAGGAGTATATATAGAGAAATCCAGGTCTGAGCCTCTAATACGGGCCTGACAGACCCGGTTACATAAATGGACTGATAGTATGAAAAGCTAATCTAGAACATCTGAATAATAATGTACAACAATATGAATCCGCTAAACGTGTGTGGGTTGCTGTCCAGACCCAATACTCAATCAAAATTTTCTTGAACTAAAAAAAAACATGAAGCACAAATTTTTAATTCATGGGCCTTCACAAATAACTGAATATTCCATAATTGAACTTTACTTGAACTAAGTTCATTTTTTGTTAACCGAAAATGTTAAAAAAATTAATGAAATATATTTATTTTTACATCGAAATATGTATTTTTTATTTTATAATTATTTTGGGGGAAAATTAAAAGGAAAACATTTCTTATAATAATTTAATTAATGTTTTACTAAATTGGTATGTAAAAAAAATGCTAAATATATTTTATTGACGGTGTTGGAATGCAGGAAAATAAGAGTCTAAACATTATTTTCATATGGACGGAGTCCATTTTTAACATTTTGGCCTCTACACCACTACAAATGATGTAGTGGTGCATTTGTAGTGGTGTAGAGCGGGCATAGGGATGTTTGGATTGTTTCTTAAAACTGCTTCTAGACATTTGAGGGCTCTAAAATGCTACTAAAAGTAGTTTTTTGAGAAACTGATGGAGTGACTCGAATATGAAAACTAATTTGATTCAATTTCTACTTTTAAAATAGTAGTAGAATCAATTTCAATCATTTCATAACTGATACTACCTGTCTTAAAATATTTAGTCAAATCTTTAAAATCTGAATTATAATTTTGATTAGTATAATATTATGCAAATTATAAATTTTATACTTTCATAGCAACACTTTAAGAAAAAAACATTTTCATATCATTTTTATAATATAAACAATTTTCAATGAACATATATAATTATTCGAAGTTTTGAATTTGATCTAGTATTTTGGGAAGGTACTCATACTAACTTCCCAAACTACCAGATCAAATTCAAAACAAATTACTCTCTCCATTCCATATTTATCTCCTTAAGTACAAATGACACACAGATTAAGATAGTGAGAAATGTGTGGTGGAAAGTTGTGCAGAGAAAAGAGAAATGTGTAAGAATGTGTAAGAATGATTGCTAAACACAAATTTTTTGCTAAAAAGGAAAAGAAAAGGCAAATTTGAGACATACAAAAAGAGAAAGTATAAAGATAATTCTGGAACGAAAGAAGTAAAAAATTCATTTGGAGAGCAATTGGATACATATACGCACGACGCTGTTCTGTTACTAGCGTGGTTTGATTGCCTTGAACAAAAAGTTACCGTAGTGTGCTGGTTTTCTTTTTTATGTTCTACACAGTATTCCACACGCCGCCTTCCCACTTTATTTTTTTCGTTCTTCAAAATCTCCCTAAAACCCTTCAAAATCCCTAAACTCGCCGACAATCCAGCTGCCATTTCCGGCTATGACGAAGCTATCAAAGCTCAACGTCTCACACCCCAAGTTTGTTGTTGCAATCGGCGTCAGCGTCGCTGGCGTTCTGATCTTTGCTGAAGTCTACCGCAGGCGGCTGGCAGCCAGAGACTCAATGAAACGGGACCCTGGAGCCTTCATCGAACGCTTCGAGCTTCTTCCTTTCCCTCAGCCTCCTCCTCCAGCTGCTCTTCTTCCCCTCTCTGGTTTAACGTTCGCGATCAGCGACAAGTCAGTCCCTGACGTCCCGCCTACTAGTTGTATCAAAATTGGAACCAGTTTACTTTTATTGTTTAAATAGATTAACTTTTGCTGTTTCTTTTTTATTAGTATTGATGTAAAGGGGTACGTGACCGGGTTTGGAAGTCCGGCATGGAAGCGGACGCATGAAGCTGCGGGAATGACGGCTCTGGTTGTGACGGCTCTGCTTAAGGCTGGAGCTACTTGTATTGGGAAAACAGTTATGGATGAGCTCGGTATTGGGTATGGTTTTCTCATCTAGGTGAATCTAGAGTACCATTACCTAGATCTTTTGGCCTTTTACCTCTACATTTGCTTCCATCAAACCCTTGCGGCATATGAAAGTGACTCACGATGTCAGGGTAACTGGAAGGAATGCGCACTATGGAACTCCAATTAACCCAAAGTTGCCGTCTCACATTCCTGGTGGCTCATGCAGTGGTTCAGCGGTTGCTGTGGCATCCAAACTTGTTGATTTTGCTCTTGGTATGATCCCCCCCCCCCCCCCCCCCCCCCCAAAGCTGGAATGATATCATTGAAAACGATTTACTTTTCAACAGAAAATCAGTTACTTTACATTCTGAAAAATCAAAGCTTCGCAAGAATAAAATTTCAAAGCCTCCTCCATTTTGCGTGTTGGAAAATGGACGAAACTGCCTTTCATATCCAATCACATATGCTTAGGGGTGAGCAAATAAAGGACAAAACTGATAAAACGGATAGCCAAACTGACGGAAAGCATCGGTCATCGGTTATCACATATTAAAAGAAGTCGGGTATTCGGTTATTCTGTTAAACGTATAAAAGTTTGTATGTACTCCATGTATACTATGATGTTTTAATTAATAAAAATCACAATTATTCTAAGAAATAATGACAGTGACTAAAATGAATATAGTGGACAAAATTTTGACTTGTTATATTTTAGTGACTATAATAGAAACTTTAATGATTATGATTAAGTTCAATTTTATAATACAGTGAGCATGATGGTATACTTGTAGTAACTTTCATCACATTTCCATCCATATGTTTTTTTTAGTAATATATAAGAACCCTCATATATTCTAACACAACCCATGTATTTAGCAGTGGGGCTAAAAGAGATAAAATTAAACTTATGTGCAATAAGCAACTAGAAGTAGAGTAAAGAAATTCATTCTATTATGAGATAATATAATCCATTTCTTCTTAATCTTTTCATCCATGGAGCAAAAGCATTTTATGATCAATTGGTTCATTCATTTTGTTTAGAGTGTATAAAATCCATTATTTCTGTCCATTTCGGTATCAATTGTTTTATTTACTACTCCCTCCGTTCCTATTATAACTTCCAAATAGGTTTGGCACACAGTTTAAGATAGTGGGTATTGTGTGGTGGAGAGTTGTGCAGAGGAGAGAGAAATGTGTAAGAAATGTTGTGAACCACAAATTCTTTATCAAGAAGGGAAAATGGAAGTTTTAATTGGAACGGACGAAAAAGGAAAGTTGGAAGTAATAATAGGAACGGAGGGAGTAGTATGTTTATTTAAAGCTTCCAGTTTTGAGTTTTGTTAAAAAATAATGCTTCTAAAATCTAAATGGTTGGTCATCGTCGATTATTTTGTTACAACCAAAACTAACTACAGTTTCTCAGTCAGTTAATGTTATGCTATCAGTTGGTTATTAGAGTGAAAAAAAATTGGTCGGTTATTCGATTATTTGACCGACCGACTGATTGCTCACCTAAATGCATGAATATTTTGACCATGCGCGGTCATTAGTTACTCCGAGGTTCAAGGCGCAGAGCTGCTTAGTGGCTATATGTGATAATATACACCATTAATTAAATAGTTACAATAATAATAACTGCCAGTGGATACATATGCCACATCATTGTTTATAATAACCTACATATCTAATAACCTAAAGAAGTTTTCTAGTATTTTGTTGCAAAAAAGATTCAAATAAAACTATAAAAGACAAGCTGGGCCAATTTTAGTGGCATATAGAAATTGTCTTACTAAGCATTGAGTATGCTATATAGTTTATATGTTTTTCTTTTAATATGCTCATTCCAATTAGATGTTTATATTATATGCTGATGTTTGCTGCTATGCTTTAGGCACTGATACCATTGGATGTGTTAGATTGCCGGCATCATTTTGTGGCATTATTGGGTTTAGGCCATCTCATGGGGCTGTATCAACTATTAGTGTTTTGCCGGTTTCTCAAAGCATGGATACCATTGGTATGTGAAGTGGTGCTGAGGTTTTGCAATTTTTTGGGCCAATTCGTTTTTTTAATTTGTGATTCAATCTAATTTGTCAACAAAAATGACAACTTTACCCCAGTGCCGCAAAGGCTCCCACCTACGGTGGGGTAAGGTGGTCGGATGTACGTAGCCTTACCCGTGTACTAAAGTAGAGAGAGGCTGTTTCCGAATGACCCATGATGAAAATCGCGTCAAAAATTGCATGGACTTACTGTTGTTTCATACCAGGAAGATCAGACAGTTTAGTGAGCCATTTTGCTTTATTCCATCATATTCCCAAGCCATTCAATCTAATTTGTCAAGTTTCACAAATTGACATAGTTCATATTTTATTTATTTGGTATGTTGGTGATTCCACTTTCTTTTTATGATTTTTAAAACAACGGTTTTGAACTTTTCTCTTGGTCCTTTGAGATTCTTGTGCTTGCCATTGTGTTTGTTTACATCATATTTTTCCTTTCTGAAGTTCATCCTTGGACTTCGGTTATTTATAGTTATTGGAAATATTTCATTTCAGGCTGGTTATCTCATGACCCTTCCATTCTGCATAAAGTTGGACACACTTTACTTCAGCTTTCCCCGTCCGAAACCAAGAGGACAAGGCGCTTTCTTGTAGCTGATGATCTGTTTCAACTATCTAAGGTTCCTACACAGAAGACAGTTTATGTTGTAAACAGAGTAGTAGGAAAATTATCTGGCTGTAAGTTGCAGTACATTTGTATTGATTTGATGGTATCAACTTCATTTTCTTCCCTAGGTTACATGCTATGGTACTGTGTTCTTCGGTCTTTATTATTACACCACAACAACAACAACAACATCCAAGCCTTAATCCCAAAAGAATTCGGGGTCTTTATTATTACACACTTGAACAATTTACACTAGCCAAGGGAAGTAGTTAGTTCTTCTTGAGTTCCTAAAAAAGTTCTTCTTGAGTTCCTAATTTTTTATGTTGTTCCAATTTTACCCTCTTTTATCATGCCTCATAAATGAGTACTTTTATAAAACAAACATGAACACAATATGAGAAGACAACAAATGTTCCTAGAAAAAGCAATGCCTTATAGAAAGGACCGTTGATTTCTTCTTAAAGCTGCCTTCTAATAAGGACCGGATGGAGTGTATCATAAGCATGGCTAAAAGTCTAAAACTCAAGTCAAACCTGTACCTATGTTGGTAGTACAGATCAGACACCTCTACACATCAATCTTGGGAAGTATATTGCTTCAAATGTTCCCAGTTTGAAAGGTTTTCATGGAGATTCTACTAGTCAGAACTCGGGAATTTCAACTTTAAGATCTCTCTCTACTGTGATGTCTCAAATGCTAAGGTACATTCATATGTTTCAGTTGTTTGTTTGTTTGTTCTGATGAGGTGTTTCCTTGCAACCTTGAGGCTATGGGGTCGAGTGTTGTGTGTAGTTTGCCTACATTACACCTTGTGTTTGAACCCTTCCCCCGGACCCTTGCTAAATAGGGACTCTTTGTGTACAGAACTGCCCTGTATACTCAATTTGTACTTCGTAATATTTAATTTATCATCTATCGGTTTTTGTCATTCTACTGCTAGGTTACCTTCAATTTTCACTTATTTCATATTTGTTGATATTTTGTAATACTTCGCACACTACATTATATGTTAAACAGCCCTACAAACTTAATAACAAAAGCATGTGGTGACATGATTCTTTTTCAGATACGAGTTCAAAACAAATTTTGAAGAATGGATTAATGAAGTCAAACCTAAGTTAGCTTCTGACATCGCTGATTGGGTTACTATGGCAATTACCTCAATTCCTGAAAGCGTCAAGCTTCTTTATAAGGTCAGGACTGAATTACGAGATGCTCTTCAGAGCCTCTTAAAGGTAACTAACACATTTAAAGTTTTTTACTCCTCTTTGCTAGGTGAAGCTATGTGGTTCCATGAACTTCTCATTTCATCAATCATGGTTGCTGTTTTGAATAGAATAGTTTAGTAATGGGGCAATTTGGAAATTTCAACTGGTTAACATAGCTGCTCCTTATCATATTTACAATTTTTGCTACTATTCTTTTCCTTTTCCTCTATTACTTAGTTTAAATCCCTTGATAAAAACTTTGAATTCATGGTATGATCTATTTTGATCTTAATTGAGGATAACATGTTAATGCATAATGTTCTGTATTTATTCTTTTGGCTGTTCTTCTCTGGGATAATAACATGCATCTGATTGGCATTTTCATTTCATTATAATTTAAAGGATGATGGGATATTACTAATTCCCACAGTTGCAGACCCACCGCCGAAACTGCACTCAAAGAATGGTCTATCTAATGAAATTGGTGATAGAGCATTTGCTTTGTTGAGCATTGCCAGCTTGTCAGGCTGCTGTCAGGTACTTTAGGCTTCGTATTCAACCTAGTAAATTCTAGAGAAACATGCTAAAGGAAAACTGATATGAAATTTGAATTTGTATTTGGAAAAAATAAAATTTATTTTTGAGCCCTATTAAATTGATCATAGACTAAGAAATCTTAATATGCAAAATTTCATGTAATGGATTATGATTTCCTTCACGTTTTCCATGGCAAAGACAAAAATTTAAAAGCTTCATATTTATAAAAAAGAGAAAAAATTGTTTTTGCAGACCATTTTTTCTTCCAGGTTGGAGCGTGCACTTTGCACCCCATCTTTTAATTGTCCAATACTTGCACTCTGTCATGAGGAAATTTTTAAGTTGACCAGTAGTTGCACTCTGTCCTTGGGCAAGTCTGGTAATATGTATTAACAACGTTTGAATTTACACCCCAGATTGGAGTATGCATCCCATTTTTTCTCCAATTTGGAGCTAACACCCTTATTGAAACCCGGACAATGATTTTTCTTAATGGCGAAGCCCAAGTATTATTGATTAGAAAAATGGGGCGCAACCTCCAATTAGAACGAATTTCCCAAAAAACTATTTTTTGGTTTTATTTTTCATTCCTCTACCATTTTCTGCCTTCCAAAGAAATCATTCTTACGATTTTTAGATCAATGTTTTAGTTTATTTTCTCTGTAGTTACCCATGTCATACATACAACCTTGTTCATGTTTTGAATATCAGGCAACAATTCCATTTGGAGAACATGACAAATGTCCAGTCTCTGTATCATTTATCGCATCACAAAGAAGTGATAAATTTTTGCTTGATACTATCCTGGATATTTTTTCTGAAATTCAAGAAGTGATCATGGTTCAAAACACATTACCATTGCCTAATGGTAGCATGGATGACTCTGAACTTTTGAAAGAAAAGGTCCTGCTCTCTTTTCTCTCATTCTTTTATTTGATGCTTGAGATATTTTATTATTATTATGAGGCTTTAAGCATGTTTTATAAGTATTTGTCTTTCTGGGCTATCACATCATATTGGTTTGTGTTGTTGCGGTGTATTTTCTAAGTTTGGTTACTTGTCGATCTTTGTTTTTTATCTCAAAGTCTCTATGCATCTCCTTAGAACCCAGGAATTTGTCGGGGGAGGGAGAGTAAAAGATAGGCTAAAGCTCAAGCAGTGTAGTTTAATGTTTAAAAATTCTATTTATATTTAGTATTCAAAAATAATAATAATAATAATAATAATCAAATTTCATTAACTTTTGCATTTTTCATGGCAAAACCTAGCATATGAAAATAATTTTTCTTTTCTTTTATCCTTTCTAACATTTTTCGGGATTCAAACATACTATTCATGGGTTGGCAGTCACCACAGTTTGGATATTTTTATTCCCCTTACCTGTTATTCATATTGCAGGGAAATGCCGCATATAAGGGTAAACAGTGGAACAAGGCTGTAAGCTATTATACAGAAGCTATAAAATTAAATGATGTTAATGCAACTTACTATAGCAATAGGGCAGCTGCTTACTTGGAAATGGGATGGTATGCTGTACCCTTTTCTTTATGCATTATTTGTTTTCATATCCTACATAAACCCCTTCCTGGTATGCTGTACCCTTTTCTTTATGCATTGTTTGTTTTCATATCCTACATAAACCCCTTCCTGGTTTGTGGAGGGTCTGCTCAGAGCTTTAATCTTTCACTTTGCAGCTTTCAACAAGCTGTAAATGACTGTACGAATGCAATATCTCTTGATAAAAAGGTAAAAAAGCTCTATTTTTGGTTTTATGCGTTCTACTTAACAATATGAGGGAATGCAATCTTTCTTGACAAAAGGTAAAAAAGAACTAATTTTGGTTTTATTAATAAACTGAGCTTTCTGTTTCCCAGGGGACTGTAATAGTCTTTTTATTAATTTATTATTACATTAGGTGGTTGTAAAGAAAGCATAGATGAAAAATTACAGAAATAATTATTATAGATGAACTAATAAAGTAAAACCTGAATTGATGATACTAAAATTTTGAGTAGAAAGTTGGAAACATTAATGTCAGTCTCCCAAATGGGTTTGACAATCTTTATTTGCTGATGCAGAATGTGAAGGCGTACTTAAGACGAGGAACAGCTAGGGAGTCACTTCTGTTCTACAACGAGGCTCTTCAAGGTTTGTACAATATGGTTGGTCTGTTGTGTTGGTGTGTTTACCTCGTTCCCCCGGAAGAAACAATAGTCCCAGACTCCTGCCGATTTAGCATTGCTAATCATCTTAGTTTACTCTTTTTTTCTTTCCAAATCATTCTCATCATATATTGTCCATTCACCGTGTATCTATGACCATTTTTTTGCTTGAATGTTTAATAGATTTTAGGTGTGCACTTGTTCTGGAACCAAAGAATAAGGTAGCCTATCAAACTGAAAAGAGGCTGAGGAAACTCACGAGGTGATTCTTCATGGTAATCACAATAACGAATATTTCTCACAAATGCTTACAAGTCTAGGAGAAGGGTTTTGCACACCGATAAATCCCGGTGATATTGTTTCTTTCACTTACATAAAACATTCCAAGTTCAGCTTCGTATAGAATCATTGTAAAGACGGTGTCTTTTGTGCTGACTGGAAAGCAAAGTGGCCGGTGTTGCCAAGTTCAGCTTCGTATAGAACTGCCCCCCACTCCCCCCAAAAAAGCAAAGAAAAATAGTCAAATTCCAAAGGATGGATATTTATCTCTTAAATAAATTTCAACTATAAATGTTCACCTTTTTCAAATTTCTTCCAGCATCGAATTGGTCAATAATTTTTGGGAGGAATGAAGTAGTAATTGTTTTGACACGTATGACCTCGTTTCGATAGGCTTAAATCAATTTCCACAAGTCTCATTTTTTCTTTCTGTGTGAAAGTTAAATCATAAAAATACGACCACTAGAAAATAAGTTCCAAATTTAAAAGAAAAGCAAGTAAAGCGTGTTCTTAATCTCATTCGTACAACACTCATCATGCAACAAAGTCATTGTTATCAATCAGGGTAGATGTGGACCAATTCTGATTCAAATTTGATTTTGGACCAACAAGAACCTTTGAGTCTGGTTCCAGTGTTGGTTCTTAGTAATTACTCCCTCCGTCCCGCTAACAATGGGACAAGAGGGGGTGACACGCAAATTAATAAAAAGTGATTTATGTGGTTGATATTGAATTGATAAAGTAAGAATAAAGTAAGAATGATTTAGAGCCACACAAACTTTACCAAATTTGGTATGGGACAATTTTAGTTGGACGGACCAATAAGGTAAAATGGGACAATCATAGCGGGACGGAGGTAGTAGTATCTTACAACCCTTTGTTTCTGTTTCGTACTAGGCGGTACTACTACTCCATAAGATTATTTTTCTACAAGGCAACTAGGTAAGTCATGTTTATGAATTATGAACCAATCGATGTCTAGAGTGTTTTTACTTGGATTGTTTTTAGACTTTTAGTCCTAGACTAGACTAAACCAGACTTTCATAATTATATACGCCTTCCGTCCCATTAACAATGGTACAAGAGGAGTAGTGACACGCACACCAATAAAAGTGGTCAAGTGGGTTTATGCGGTTGATATTGAATTGATAAAGTAAGAATGATTTAAAATAACACAAATTTTAGTAAATTTGGTAAATGACAGCATTAGCGGACTGAGCGATAAGAAAAAATGGAACAATCTTAGTTGGATGGAGGGATAATACACCGGACATTTGTAAAATCAAACTATATAAAATCAATAAATTTCAGTTCAAGTAAAATCATCCCATGTCTTCAATATTTGATACCCAATTAGATATGGATCATGCAAATAATTAACGTTTCATATGTTACATTGGATCGGTAATTATGTATCCTAAATTCCTAATCATTATTCTAAAATCGCTCTAAGCGTCCGACTAGTTCTTACGTAAGAGTTAGGCGGTGGACAGACGTTATAATTTTAGACTAAGCGGCCCGACTAATTGGTTTGGTGCATGGGTGAATTAGTCGACCGCCTTGGGCGCATTGTTGCCCGCCCGAAACGCTTAACCGACTGCTTTGGCGTCTAGATTCATCAAACATTTTTTTCTTTTTCTACTTTTCTAAAAGATGTATGTTCATTTAACTTTAACAACGTAAATGAAAAAGCTACTCCCTCCGTCCCTAAAAGGATTGCCAAGTTTGACCGGCACGTAGAATAATAAAGTAAAAACTGTGTGGTAGAGATTTGTGCAGAGGAGAGAGAAATAACAGAGACCACAAATTGATTGATTAAAAGGGAAAGTGACAAAGTTTTTGGGACAACCAAAAAAGGAAAATTGACAAAGTTATAAGGGACGGAGGGAGTACAAGTTATATATTAAGATTAAAAACTATATATAATCATAAATGGTGCTAAATATTATTTAATAGTATTTATTACATAATGTAGTTAAGTGAATAGGTATAAATATGATATATTATGAAATGTGACAACTTTATCATTCATGCATGTTAATGTATATGTGTGTATTTTTAATGTGTATGTGTGTATATACTCTTTATACACGCACGGATAAACATAACATTACTAATCATATTTATGCAATTTTTTATGTCTTTGACTAGTCCCGCCTAGAAGGCCGCCTAGACGCTGGACTCACACCCGATTAACGTCTAACGCCTTTTAGAACATTGTTCCTGATGTACCCTAATTATGAATGATATATTTAGTATTGACATGTAATTGGAAATCCTCCCTCCCACACCTAGTTTGTCTGCTTGATTTGTCGCTGCAAGCAGGAAGGCTAGACTAGTCTCTTTTATTTGCCCGCTTCTCCACTCACCTGCTCCACTCGATCTTGCTTCACCTCCGCAAGATTGGTGTTGCTTCCACAACTGAAGAAAAGGGAGGCTGTCGAAGAAGGAAAGGAAAGAAGTGGAAGAAGGGAAGGAAGTCAATTGAAGAAGGGAAGGAAGGCACACTCTGTTGGGATCCCTCCTTAATTGGAGAGGTTCTAGAAAAATTCTAGAGCTTTCTAGAGAAGTATAGAATTTTCTCGAAAGTTGCGGAGAATCATAGAGAAGTCTAGAACTCTCTAGAAGCTTGCGGAATAGTGTTGAATCCTCTAGAATATTTTGGAGATGTGTGGAACCTTCCAGAAGCTTATGGAAGAGTATGGAAGCATATGGAATGGAATGGAGAGATGTAGAGATTCCTTGGAATTCTCTAGAATAGGCAGTCATGTGTAGATCATTCTAGAGAACTATTCTACATCACTCATTATGGAGGTGGAGTAGTATAAATAGGAGTAGGAGCCTCCATTCCTAACCATCCTAGTAATCCTAGCAAGAGAAAAGTCACTTCCTAGAGTGAGAAAGCTAGAGAGTTAGTGAGCCTCTTTGAGAGAGAAGAGAGTTAGCTTGGGAAGTTCATATCCTCAAGCTTGAGTGAGCCACCATTGAATTTAGTGAGACAATTTTGTAACATCCTTGTAAATCCAACTGTTCTTAACTTCACGAAGTGGGAAAAGTCCGAAGTTTTTTCCAACAATGGTATCAGAGACAGGTTCATTTGAGGTCGTCATTAGCTCGTGCAGTTCAAGATGGAGGATAACGTCGCCCATGATGGAGACGTGTTCAAGCTCACCGCCAACAACTACTCATATTGGAAGCCGATGATGAAGGATCATCTATATTGCAAGGATTTGCATGAGCCCATCATCTACAAAGAGAAGGTGGAAGGCAAGAGTGACACTCAATGGGAGCTACTGAATCGGAAGGCCGTTGCTATGATCCGTAAGTACATCGACAAATCCCTGTTCGAGCATGTGTCCACTTACACGAATGCTGATGAATTATGGACAAAGCTTGAGTCCATGATTCAAAAGAAAACACCTCGTAATAAGGCATATTTAGTTCGACGATTGGTGAAGTTGGAGTATAAGGATGGTCATAGTATGATTGAACACGTGAAAAATTTCAAAGGGCTCGTAAATCAATTAACCAAAATTGAGATGAAGATCGATGACGAGTTGCAAGCCCTTCTACTCCTTATTTCCTTGTCGGAAAGTTGGGACACACTCGTGGTTACGCTTAGTAACTCAGCTCCGGAAGAAAAGCTAACCATGGACACCGTCAGTGATAGTCTTCTGGGTGAAGAAACAAGGAGAATGGAATGAGGTGAGTCTATTCATCCCGAGACTAATATTATCGAGAACCGGGGTAGGATTGTGACTCATGGACGCTGTAAGAGCCGAGATCCGCAACAATTTCGAGGTAGGTCCAAGTCACGCTCGAAAATCACATGCTACTACTGTGGAAGAATGGGCCACAGGAAAATGGAGTGTCGATCCTTCAAAAGAGATCAAAAGGCCGGTAACGTCAAACCAGACCAAGTCAGCCCAACGAAGAAGCAGTAAGAAGAGAAGAGTACCACTACCATAGTAGCAAAAGAAGATCTGTTATATCTCGTTGGAGAAGGTAATATCCTCAACATTGCTTATGATGATGGTTCTTGGATTATCGATTATGGTGCTTCCTTCCATGTCACTCCCCATGGAAGCTTCTTCTCATCTTACCAAAGCGGTGACTTTGGTACGGTTCAAATGGGAAACCAAGATAGGAGCAAGATAGTTGGGATAGGAGACATCGTCCTGACAACTAGCACCGGATGCAAGCTTGTTATAAAAGATGTGAGGCATGTTCCGGCCATGCACCTCAATCTTATCTTCCCTGGGAAGGTAGACGATGCTGGTCTGATGAATTACTTTGGTGAAGGAAAATGGAAGCTCACCAAAGGAAGTCTAGTCATGGCTAGAGGAAAGAAGGAAGGATCGTTGTGCGTGATGCAAGCAAAGCTCTGTAAAGGATAGATAAATATAACCACTGATGACATGGAGGTATGGCATAAACGACTTGGCCACATCAGTGAGAAGGGCCTTCACATACTTGCTCGGAAACAACTCCTCCCGGACGTAAAAGGTAAGTCACTTGATCCTTGTGCACATTGTTTAGCTGGAAAACAACACAGGGTTGCTTTCCAAAGATCTTCTCCGCCTACTAGGAGAAAGAATATTCTCGACCTTGTACACACCGATGTGTGCTCAATGTCCGAGAGATCCATTGGTGGTGCATTGTATTTCGTGACTTTCATTGATAATCATTCAAGGAAGGTATGTGATGTAGGGAGACTTGCAGTGAGAATTGAAGATGAAATCAAGTTGCAGTCAAATGCAACATGATTTGCACAAGTGTGGCATTCAGTGTAATAATGAATATTATTATATGTTTTTGATAAGGGAATCTGTCAGGGATCACATGCTACTGTTTTGGCTGCAAGATATGGGCTGAAATTGGCTTTTGTGTTCATTTAAGGCCTGATAGAAGCTTTTTAATATTTTCAATTATATTTGTTTTGATTTTGCTTTGGATAATTTTTGCACTAGATTTTCCTGAAGTATTTAAACTTTCCTGTAAGGCAGTAGCCAAGTATCTTTTACTCATAATAAAATCAAGAGTTTTCTGGTGGATTCCAGTGTTCTTCGCACAGGTTTGCTGCTGGCAAACGTAACTACCGTTCTTGGATTAGCGTTTGCTAATCCTTCGTGATTCCGACTGCATCAGGTGGTATCAGAGCAGGATTCCTCCTGTTTCTCTTCATAGCTTGAACAACCATGGGAGACCAATCAGTAACCAGAGCAGAACTCGAGGGTATTATCGCGGCTTTTACCACGGCCCTCACTGCTTTGACTGAGCAGGTGGTGACTCTAAGAACCCAGTTGAACAACACCGGCAACAATAGGAACC